CTGGAGAGTTGAAGTGTACTCTTGTTTCATCCACTACAGTGGGAAGAGTGTGTCAATCCTGCTTTACTCTTTTTTTTTTTAATGTGTGTGTGTGTGTGTGGCCAGCTCAGCCCACCCGGGGGCGGGGCTGGCTGGCGTGTGGTGCTGGGGGATTGAACCGCGGTCCCTGTGCTTTGCTAAGCTTGTTCTAAGTAGGTGCTTTAGACCACTGAGCCATCTCACCAGCCCCAGTCCTGCTTTACTCTTTATGATACCCAGAAGCAGCTACCCAATTCTCAAGAGTTCTTCCCTCCGTGGATACCATGTCCCAAGTGACCCTGATGTACCATAAGATGTGATAACATAAAAATGGAAATGATCTAAAAGAAAAAGCGGGGTATGCTACTTACAGCTTTAATCCCAGCACTAGGAAGATGGAGGCAGGAGGATGCAGTGAGTTCGAGCCCAGCCTTGGCTATATAGTGAATTCAAGGCCAGCCAGAACTATACTGTGAGACCCCGTTTCCAAAAAGTAAAACAAAACAAAACAAAACAAAAAAAAAAAAAAAACAGAGCAAGAAGAGATTTTCTAAGCCTAAGAGGTTTTGGGGAGGGGGTAACTTGCCACACAGACATTATGACCAGAACAGAATCTACCAAAGGCAATAATTTTCCAGTCTCACAATACCCTAGAAGCTTTGAGAAACACTAGCTTGGCCAGTTTGCCAATTGATCTGGACATTCCAATGGACTTTAAAAATTCATGACTGCCCTAGTGTGTGTCAGCTCCTCTGTTTTCAAACACCAAACTGACCTCAATGCTCCTTATTTTCTCCAAAGAATTATTTTGTTATAAAAACCTTTGTTCTGCTTATCTTTGTGGAGCACTTGCTTGGTTTACAAAATTAGCTGATGTTTTCCCAATTAGCAAATCTATTGTCCACTCAGTAAAACTGTCCTTTAATTATCCTCATTTATGACTTCTTGGTTGGCAGGTGCAAGATCCCCATCTTAAAGAATGAGTTTCCTTGCATGCTGGGCCATCTTGGCTAAATATTTCTGTTACCTGAAATCTCCATTTTAGTACTATTCTGGAGTGGGAATCAACAAACATAGAGATACCTCGTGGTCAAACTGCTCTAAGCTCACATTTTTCATCACTCGAACAGCAAACTTTGAAAAAACTCGGATTTCATCACTTTGCTCAATAGTCAAACTAAAAATCCGATCTGACCTCTACGGGCCAAGAGCGAGTCACACATCATGCCTCATTTGGGACACAAAGAGGCAACGTTTCAGTCTGAACTCCACTCACCCAGACAGCATAGAATGCTTGTGTAACATTTGGGCCTCAGAACCAACTCTTTGGTATTTGGATTCTCGTTATTTTTCATGGGAAAAATACATTCAGTTCTCCAACATTTTCCATGTGTGGACGGGAATTTGGAATGAACTGAATTCCACAATCAAGGTATTACCGTATTTCCTGGAAAAAGCCAAGGAATAAATAGTTTAGGTTTTGTGAACTGCGCAGTCTGCTGCAATTACCCAGCCCAACCTTTTTATTGATAGAGCAGCCACAGACAATACCTAATGAAGACGCGCAACTGTGTTCCAACAAAGCTTTATTTACAAAGCAGATGGAGGGCCAGCTGTCCCCTTCTCTAGAGAGGAGAAAGTTTGTGGCCTATTGTTTGTAATTTCACCACTAGAACTAAAAATTATCCCTGTTTTTTCAGTGAATAAATGAAAATAGCCACAGACATTTTTCTACTACAAAAAGTACTCCTGTGTGTACATATTTCTATATTGTACAGGAAACCACAACTTTTAAAAGTGGTACTAGAATAAAATTTAACATCAGTATAAGTTGACCAGAGTAAATTAGGGCCCGGGGAGACAGCTCATCAGAATAAGTGTTTGCCTGGCAAGCAGAGGGTCCTGAGTTCAATCTCTGGTACTAAAAAAAAAAAAAAAAAAAAAGGGCTACAGAGTAAATTAGCACTTAATGAAAATAATAATTTCTAGGCAAGCATTACCACCGAGCCACATCCCAAGTCCATAATAAAAATAATTTCTAGGACACGGTAAGCCCTAATATCCTACTTGTTTTTAGACCAGATGGCAACTACTGGTATATATTTTTGTAATACAAGTACTGGTACAACAGAGACATAAAAGATGCCATCTTTGATGCAGTCCCTTAGAAACTGTAAAAATAAGTACCATCCAGCATCTGGATGTTAAATAAAAGAGCTGGAGGGCTCGCTAAACAGAAGAGTCTATCAAATTTTAGGAATTCAGGTTTATCCAAAGTTTTGACATATAAAATCTCCCCTCTTACTATCCCATCTTCACTGACTTTGAAATCACGGCAGGAACATGATTAATCTCCTCCTCATTTTTCTGGCAAATCTCATGAACTAATTTCCTTTCAAATTTCTGAGGCGATTTAAACATTGTATCTGATGCAATGTACACCCTACTAAACTATAAAATCCCCAATAAAAGTAAGAGTGCTTTCTCCCCACTTATAAATCAGCCTGACTGCAATAATTGCTGAAGAGGCTCCCTCTTGTTCGGAGACAGAATATGCTCTCACAAAATGGGATTCCCTGGTGCATATAGTCCTTTCATCATCACCAAGAGAAGGCTTCAGTTCTAAAATACTGACCAAATTATTTCAAAAGTGTCTTGGTTACTCTTCTCTCATTGCTGGGACAAATATCCGACACCCAGAATGAAGGAAGGAAAGGTTTATTTAGCACAGTTAGTGGAGGTTTCAATTCAGATGTGGCTGGGTCAAGGCAGAGCAGCACAAAACAGAGGGCAACCTTTCATGGAGGAGACAAAGAGCAAGAGCCCAAAAGAAGTAGCAGCAGCTCAAGCGGCTAGCCTCTCTTCCCACCTTACATTGTAAAGCAAATTACCTGCCCCAGGGCAGGTACAGCATCCACACCCACAATAATCACAAACTCCAGAAGCCGCCCTAAGACTGCTTGAGGCTTTGGGGGGACAGCTAGACGCAAACCGTAACAAAAAGCTACTCTCATTCTTGCTGTCATTGAAATGCAGTAGGGGAAGATGGAATAAGCAAATGAGTTGGTGGCAGCAAGGTAAATGTGGGGATTAGTACAGTTCCTTTGGTCCAAGTTTAGTGTGACTTGCTCTGTCTTTACACTTTTCTTTTTCTTTCTTTTTTTTTTTTTTTTTTTTGGTGGAACCAGGGATTGAACTCAGGCCCTTGCACTTGCTGGGCAAGCGCTTACTCTACTGAGCCATCTCCCTGGCCCTGTCTTCATACTTTTCAAGCCAGCATTCTGTCGGGACGCTACAAGCTACCGTGAACTCTTAAAGCTTTCCAGATTGCAAAGCTGAACATACCAGCCATACAGGAGGCATAAAGTGAGACCAGCCCAGACCTAACAAGGCAAAGGAAGACTCATTCTCTCATAAGGCAGCTGTGGACTCACTGGCTTTCTTCTTTTTTTAATCTTTTATTTATTTATGTGGTACAGGGTCTTGCTACACAGCTTGGACTCTTAGTGATTCTCCTGGTTCAGCCTCCCCAGCGCTGGGATTATAGGGGTGTGTCAATATACCTGGTTTTGGTGGCCAGCCTGGCATGGGGACCAGCATGGCATGTGGTATTGGAGATCGAACCTGGGTCCTTGCACTTGCCAGGCAGGCACTTGGACCACAGAGCTATCTCCCCAGCTCCCTTATTCACCTTCATGAGCCATTCAGAGCTTTTTATTTTAGCCTTTGATAATTGTATGACATATCTAGCTAGCGTCCCAGCTGAAACAACAAAACCAAGGAAAATTCCACCTTTAACTAGAAAAAACTAGACATTGATATACCCAGGAACCTCCAGGCTAGAGGTCTCCCCAGTTCCAGAGTGTCTTGTCTCCTTCTTTTAGCCTCTAGTACTGTAGACACTAATTTTTGAAGAGGGAAGTATAGAGTTCCACACAATTAGCTGTTGAGGTGTATTTTCACTGGCAAAGGGAGCAAAGGTGCTGTATTGGTTAGAACTAAGCTAGTGGGGAAAGTAAACACAAAGCTTGCCTTCACAAGCTCCCCCACAGCGGGCCTGGGTCACGGCAAACCTGCATCTTGTCCAGGTAAATTCTACACAAGGGGAAGCTGCGAGGTTATGGGAGACAGGGTGTGACATGGCGTTTCCATTGCTCCCTGAACTCCGAGCTGGTTAGTTGATACTGCACACCCAAGCCTTTAAATTCCCTAGCCCACAAGCTGAAAACAGGTTCTCAAACTGTAGGAACATAAAGCCTTTCCACTTTATTTCCACGAGCGCATCCTTCACAGGCCTTGGTTTGAATTGGGAGTGGGGGTGTCTACGAGGGTTTCACACACAGTGTGATACAGTAACAGAACTAGTGATACGCAAAACCGATTTTTATTAAAGTCGAGCTCCACAGACTCTAGTTTCATCCCACTTTTACTCCACATCTGACAAGTACAAAGCCCTTTCTGAGTCTCAGTTTCTTTGCCTGTAAAATGGGCATGAAGCTCTCCACCGTGCTGTTGTAGAATTAAATCACTGGCTCTGCAGGTAATTAGTAAAGGCCTGGCGGGGTGCAGGCTCTCCACAAACGTTAGCTGCCTAACAGTCCCTACCATTACTTCTGGGAAACGCCAGCGCTGCCCCCGGGGGCTGGAATAACGGCAGCCAGCGGGCTCAAGAATCAAGCAGACACAGGTCATCGCGAGGCTCTCCGGGACCAGAGTGAAGGCCGGACCGCCCCGATCCCGCACCTCGGCTTCTCCCAAACTACCATGCACACAGCTGGACTGTGGAGCTCCAGAGAGCCCACTTCCGCCAGGGGCGGACCAAAATAGTTCCTTCCCAGCTGGCGCTGGCCCTGATCTCGCTCCGCCCATCCAAGAGCCGGCCTGAGTGTAGCCCCGCCCCTCGCTTCCGGCTCTCCTAGTCTGGTAGCGCCAGGCACCGCCCGGGCCCGCCTTCCGTGACGTCACTTCCGGGCCGGCCCGGGCGGGACCCGAGCTGGAGCTGCTGCACCGATCTGCCTTGGCTCTGTTGCACGCCACGTCCCGCGCCTGGCCACTGGTGCTTTCCCGCCGTCGGAGGGCCGCCGGCTGGCGCGGGCCTACCGCCCCGGGTAAGGCGCTCGCACTGCTGTCCAGGGAGGAGATGTGAGACAGCTCGGGCTGTCGGCTTGGGAGTGAGAAGGGTGATCGGGGTGCAGAGGAGGATGAATGGGGAGCACAAGGGACAGAAGGAAGGGGACCAGAAAAAGTGAATGGGAACACAGCGTGCAAGACGATGATGAAGAACAAGAGGAGAAAGGGAAGAAGGATGGGTCGAGACTGTGAAGGAGCATGGATGGGCTCCCAGAAGGAGGGCTGAAGGGGATCGCAGACTGCGGAGGGGAGGACGGGCTGTTCCAATTTGGGAGCATAGTTGAGACACTCCCGTGAGTAGGGGCCGGTCTTGGGACAAGACCCTGACCAGACTGTGCTCCGGAAGGGTTGGTCTCAGAAAAGCAGCTGACCTTTTGGGTGACCCAGGCCTGTCTCCCAGACCCTCTGTCTATAGGTGGGGGTTGTAGGTTTCCATCAGATTTTCCACTTGGGCTGTCTCCTTGCCCACCTCCCCCCATGGGGCTACTTGTCGTCTCCACCTCGATACGTTAGACTGAGAGCAGGAATCCACAGCTACATGGCTTACCACAAGAAAGCTAACTTGCAGCTTCCTCCTCCCTCAGGAAGCATCTCAAATTTCAATAAAATGAGTGCGGGAAATATTTAAAATACGAAGTCTTCACTTATATTGGACCTGCCTAATAGAAGAATTGCGAGTCTGCTCACATAGCCAGCAAAAACTACACCTTAGCATTTAGCTGTGATGCAAACACTTCTAGGATCCTGGCAGCAAGTCGTATAATTTAGATCATATCAAACAGTGTAATTTAGATAATATCCAGTGTTCCAAGTTCTCATCTGCCGCATGAACACATCCTTTGGACCACAGGGCAATGTCAATATAGGTGAAACTATATGTGGTTTTGGGGCTTCTGCTACCAAAGTCCAGCCAGGTGACGTGTCAGAGTTAGGTTACTGTGGTTTGCCCTCTGTATTTTCTTTGAAATCCCTACTACTTCGTATGCATGGATAGCTTCCCCAGCTGAGACTAAGGACCTGGGTCATGCTCCTGCTAAGAAATAAGTATTAATAGCATAATCAAATGTGAGGATAATATCTGTAGTTCTTTAACAAACCTGAGAATGATTTGTACTGCATCAGTCAGTGCCACAAAAGAACCAGTTTGGAGCCCAATTTCATATAACTAGCATGTAGCAACCTATGTATCGCTAACAGCTTCATAAGAGTTAAAAATCAAGCCAATAGGCTGGGGAGACAGCTCAGTAGGATAAACGCTTGCCTGGCAAGCCCAAGGGCCTGAGTTCAATCCCTGGTTCCACAAAAAAAAAAAAAAAGAAAAGAAAAGAAAAAATCAAGCCAAGGATGGGAGCACAAGAGGGGACGAGAGGATTTAAGGTATCTCAAGGTTGTAGACCACTTGGTAGGTAGAGGCAGAAGTGTTGCCAGAGTTGGAAGGCCAGCTTGGGCTACATAGTGAATTCAAGGCTAGTGTGAGTGACATAACAAGACATTGTCTAAAAAAAAAAAAAAAAAAAAGTCTTGGGCAAAGGATAAAGTGGTTACTCAGGGGCACAGTATGAGAATGTCTTCCTAATGGGATGCCATCTGGCTCCAGGGGGTCCCTATTGTACTTTTCTTGCATATCCTATGGGGAGTTGCTCCCTGTAAAGGGGAAGTTCCCAGCACTAGCCTAGCCACCAGCTTTCCATCTGTTCTGGTCTCCTATTTAATGCTTACTTAACTCTTCCTCTATGTAATAATGAGAATAACTGATAGTCCTGATGGTCAGATTGTCAATTAAGTATTTTAAATCTTATTAATGGTTTATCCATTAGGAGCCAACTTGTAAACATTAGTGCAAGTCTCCACAAGTGATCTTGCCATTGAGAATATTCTGTTGGAAAATGGAGGCAGGACCATACCAGAAAGATGAAGTCATGGTACAACAAAGGCCTGTTCTTGACTCTATGGTGGCCAGTTCTTGTTTCTGTGGGAGTGGCCATTAGCTTGGCTGGGTGGAGTGAGTAAACAAGGGTGACATCCAGCAAAAAATTTCTGGGAAGCTTGGGGAGTCTTTAAAGATAGCCTTTTGCAGATTCCCTGTGTATGTGCATTAAGCTTTGTGACTTCCCACAGGAGCATGTGGCTGTATGTGTGTGCCTCTGCTGCTTGCACATGTGTGGCTATGTTTGTGCATGTGCAGCAGTATGCAGTTGGGAACGTGCACTTGTGGGTTGTGTACATGAATATGACTTCACACAGGCATGTGTGTGTGGCTATGTATGTATGCATGGGCATTTGTTTTGGGGAGCAGGCTCATGGTTGTCCTTAAGCACTACCACCAATGGATCTCTGCCCAGTATGGAAGATGCTGAGCTGTCCCTATAACCACCTGAGTTACATTCAGTGTTCATCCATCAGAGAGTCCTTTAGGCTATTTGTATTTTTACATTACAGCTGTACTCCTTGAGTCCTCTAAGGTTTTGATGTGATTTCATATGTAAATTACATAGTTTCTCTGAATTATTAAAATCTCTGAGCGAAATTGTATCAAATGGTATGATTGCTCTATGTTTTGCTGCTTGCTAGCTCAAAGTATTTGAAGAAAATCAACTGTTTTCTATCACTGGAGCCTTTCAGAAATGTTTTCTAAAATTGATACATGCTTATAAAAACAAAAAGAACCAAAATATTAAGTAAAACAGTGAGGTTGGCGATATAACTCAGTGGTAGAATACTTACTTGTTTAGCATGTCTGAGCCCCAGGCTTAATTCCCAGTAGCCAAAAAAAGGTTTTTTTTAAAAAAAAAAATTAAATGTAAATCTATTACATAGGGATAAACATTATTTACATGCAAATGTCTTTTCACACCCTTTAATATATGTCTTTATTTATTTTAAGAACTGGGGAATATATGTCTTTAAATAAAAATTTTATTATTGTATGCATCCAATTACATAGCTTGCTTTTGTTACTTCATGTTTTATACTTGGGTATCTTCCATATCAAGAAATAGGACTTTTGGGGGGAACTTCAAAAGGAAAGAGAAACTGGGGTGGGGGAATGGAGGAGAGAAGGAAGGAAAAAGCGAAAAATTATATATATATATATATATATATATACACACACACGCACACATACACATATGTATAACAGTTAAGATAGTCTTGCTAATTTTTTTTAGTTCATTGAAAAGAAAGGTTTGTGCTAATATTGATTGCTTGGACAATTAAATGCCCATATCTTGTGTTCTGTACTTGTACTCTTGTACTAGTTTAAAGACAACAATACACAAGGTATTAACCATTGTTACCCTCCTATTATCTCGTTTTGAAATTTGAGGATTTCTTTTTCTTCTTTAAAATAAAAAAAGGGGCTGGGGAGATGGCTTAGTAGAATAAGCGCTTGCCTGGCAAGCGTAAGGGTCTAAGTTCAGTCCCCAGTTCTGCAAAAAATAAAATAAAATAAAATAGAGGGCCGGCAAGATAGCTTAGCAAACTAAGTGCCTGCTTAGGCAAGCTCAGGGACTGTGGTTTGATCCCTGGCACCACTTGCCATGCCAGCCCCACCCCCAGGTGCGCTGAGCTGGCAGACACCAGGCATGGTAGCACACGTGTGTGATCCCAGTGCGGGGGAGGCTGAAAACAGGAGGATCACAACAAGTCCGAGCTGCATAGTGAGACCTTGTACCAAATACATAAAAAAATAATAAAATAAAAGAAATAGAAATTTTTGTGGTTAAAAAAATACTGGCATATTTTATATGTGGATGAGACAATACCTACAATTTTTTTTGCAGATTTTTGCCACTGTAAGTAATGCTCTGGTGAGTATCTTTGTAGATTTTTATCTTCGGACAATTTGTCAAGTTGCTTCTTTAGAAGAAATTCCTACAGTTAAAAAATGCTGCATTGGAAGTTTTGATGTTGAAAGCTATACATGCTGTCATTTTGTAGCACAATGATCCATAGCATATTGTTCTTTCCTGCCACCTACTCACTGACTCTTTTCCCTCATGCCTTTCCTAAGCATCTTTGCCTTTTAAACCCTAGATGTGGCTGTTACCAGAGTGGAGCACCCGCCTCAGTCCCACGAGTGCCACAAAGCATGCCATGGCCTGGGAGTGCCCTGCCAAGCTGCCCTCACCTGCCAAGTCGGACCTTACCTGGCGATTCCACAGTGCCAAGCCCACAGCTCCCCAAGGAGGTAGCTGGCCCAGCCTGCGAGCCTGCCCTGAGCAGCTGTCTCTGGTGAGTGTCCCACACCCTGCAGGGTGGGCCTGCCTATTTGGGGACAGAACAGTGAGGCGGGAGAGGATTCTGAAGAGACTGCATGGCCAGCAGAGGGTCACAGATAAAGGAACGGTCTCCCAGTCACTATTGGGGGCCAGTGTGTGGTCCTTCACAATTGGAGATCCTGCCCTCTGAGCAGACCAGGATGGTCGACCATGGGCCGGGATGGACGTAGGGGACCATGCAGTGCCCCGTGGGCTGCTCTTGTAACACAAATGCCCGTTACTGCAGGTGGCTCTCTTGGCCCAGTGTTGCAATGCCAAAACACCTGCAGGGGCCCTCAGTGCAGAATTCTGCCTTCACCAGTGCTGGAGGACAAGGGAGGAGCCAGAAGCCCAATAGAAACCCCAGGAGCTGATGTGATGTGGGTCTGTTACAGAGTAAGAAAGCAGATAGACAGGAGGAAATCCATTGGTAAACTGAGTCCGTTTCTCCCTGCCTTATGCAGCTGGAGCTGCAACCCTGAAGTGCTCCAGCAGTGGCTGGCAAACTGTGGCCTGAGGGACAAATCCCACGGCTGTCTGTGTAAATAAAGTTTTATTGGGATGCAGCCATGCCCATCCATTCCCATATCATCCATGGCTATCTTTGTACTACAGTGGCAGTTGAGTGGCTGAGACACAAACTTTATGGTCCACAACAGTCGAAAATATCTATTATCTGGGTTTTTATAGAAAAAGTTTATCTAGTAAAAGGGCAGAAAGGGTTCCTAAGGCCTGAAGTGCATTCATGGGGCCGAGAATCCCCTTGACCGTTAGATGTGAATGTGAGTGGCTAAAGAGAGCTGTGGAAACACACCATTTACGCAGTGCTTAGCTGCACCTCCTCAGCTAACAGCTAATTGTGAGCTCTTTGTGCTGAAACCTTCCAGTTTCAGTTCTTCCTGTCAGCAAGTTTTGGCTTTTCTCTACCAACCTGCCCCGACTTTTCTGTCGGTATGAAGAATGCTTTTTGCACCCTAGAAAACAAATGCAAATCTATGGTTTCTAAGGCTGGTAGTTTTCCTAAACCTGTAAGATACCAACAGAGCCTTATGACCATTTTAGAGGAAAGTGCTATTTAAAGCTAGGAAAAGTTACTGACTTGGGAAAACATGGAGGCGTCTGGGAATATCCCAGGCTTCTGGAAGAGTTTGTGCATGAAGACCTCACAACAGTCCTCATCAATGACAAATGGCAGAAAGCCACCCCTACCTGTACCCCAGAAAGCCCTTCATGTTACATGGGGACTGCTTGCCCATGACTTTTTTTTTTTTTTTTTAAACATTTATTTAGGGCTGGTGAGATGGCTCAGTGGTCTAAAGCACCTACTTAGAACAAGCTTAGCAAAGCACAGGGACCGCGGTTCAATCCCCCAGCACCACATGCCAGCCAGCGCCGCCCCCTGGTGGGCTGAGCTGACCACACACACAAATAAATAAAAATCTAATTAAAAAAAAAAAAAAACCTTAAAAAAAAAAAACATTTATTTATGTGTGTGTGTGTGTGTGTGTGTGACCAGCTCAGCCCACCTGGGGGCGGGGCTGGCTGGCATGTGGTGCTGGGGGATCAAATTGTGGTCCCTCTGCTTTGCCAAGCTTGTTCCAAGTAGGTGCCTTAGACCACTGAGCCATCTCACCAGCCCCTTGCCTATGACTCTTGACATAGCAGGACATGCTTCTTGGGTAGGCTAAGGGCTGAGTAGGTGTCATGTTGGGTCCTTGCTTGTGTGACCCTGAGTCACTCTCATACAGCTCAGTGAGGCTTAGAAAAGTTATGTGACATGTGTGGGTCAGGTCATTTAGCTCAGGAGCTAAGATTAACCCTTCTCCGCAGCAGTTCATTCAGTGACATCCATATGTTAGGTGTGTGATCCCCAGAATGGGAGGGATGAACCAGCCCTGTCCTCAGTGTGACGAGGCAGGTGAGAAGAGAGGCGGTGCTGGAAGACAGAGCAAGATGCACCTGGACAGAGGGTGGATCAGAGTAGGAGATGGTTTTCCAAAGATGTTGTGTGGGTGGAATCTTTTCGAGGTAAGCAGCCGAGCCCATCACTGCCTGGTGCATAAGGCCTGCAATAGGTGTTTCACGTGACCTCTGTGTTGGTGGGCAGGAGGCACATCCTCTGCTGTGACATCTAAACTACCACATGGTCAGTGGAGTCAACAGCTTCTGGCCTCACCTGCATCTCATTGTTCTTTCTCCACGACTGACCCTGCTATTGTCATCAGCTGCTCTTTCCCTCTAAATTTCTCTACCAGGTGGATCCCGATCTGTCTTTTGCAATGTACCTGGGTGTCACTGTGCCAGGAAACCTTCCTTGACGCACACATAGCCACCACAGGCTCACTCCCTGTGGGGCCCCATCCTCTGCCAGGCTAGCCCAGCCACACTGGAGTACTCCACCCGGAGGACCATCCCACTTCACACTTCAAGGCCTGACCAGATGCCGTCACCTTCCTTCTCCCCGACTCAGTGCTTGTGACAGCTTGCAGTGACCTCTTTACTCTGACTCCTGCAGGCCCCATGGTGGAGGTTATATGTTTTTCCTCTTTTGTACTAAATGTGCTTCCCTGGCACATGCATAGACACCCAGTGAATATTGGCTGGCTGGCTGGCTGTGGGTAGATAGATGACTAGAAAAGTGGATGGTTGTATAAATAGAGAATAGATGAGTGGGTTGGTGGTTGAATGGGTAGGTAGACAAGTTGGAGTGGATACTCCAACTCCATCCATGGTTGGATGGAGTATTGGATGGATAGATGAATGGTTGGATAGAAGGATGGACAGATAGATGAACATACAGATCAGCAGGTAGTGGGTGGATGGTTAGATAGACGGTGGTGGATGGATGGATGGATGGGTGGATGGCCAGAGGATTGATGACTTAAGTATTGTCTGCCATGTCAGTGTCACAGTTACCTATCACAAGGCACACATAGGAGCATTAGGCCTGACTTGTTTACTTGTCACACTAGGAGAAAAGAGGAAGAGATGGCCAGTCTTGGTGATGGGGTCTTAGCCCTATCCACATGTCTAAGTCTTGGCTCTCCCTCCTGCCCTCTCGAACTCTGGCCTTGGGATGAGAGAGTAAGACTTGCAGAAGATAGGATCTCTAAAGAAATCAGGTTCAGTGCTTTAGTTAGATTGCCATTGCCACCTCAACTGCAACATGTTGCGCTCGTCCTAAGACCTTGACTCAGTTTGCACCGTGAATCCTGCTGGGAGCTTCCATAGCAGGTGCAGAGCTGAGCTCTGTGCCTCAGGTAAGGATATGGGTCACTGACCAGGTGAAATCTGACAAGTGTGCTTACTTGCCCCCAGATCCCTCAGCCAGGCAGAAGGGAACCATTAACAGCCTGAGGAGCCGGCCAGCTGGGAACCTCAGACCACACCACCCACCGTGCTCCCAGCTTACCTCCAAGATGTCGACAGCCCTCATGCTGCTTTGGATTTTCTCTTTGTCCTTATCTGGAAGCCAGGTGGCATCTGACAAGCCACGTAAGTGAAAAGAAGGCTGTGTGGCTATTGGACAGGTCCACAGTGGCCCCTAAGTACCCTCAGCCCCATGAGAGAGGTGGTGCCTGAGTGCAGGGCTGGCAAGGGTTTTGGGGGACCAAAACCAATGTGGGTAAGGAAGCCCCACACAACTGGCCAACAGAGCCCTGAAGGTTTCTTTGCTTGGCCCTGCAGTCTTCTTTGTCTCCTTTAGGGAGTTCATTCACTTGTACAGCCAATATCTGATTGCACTCCCATTCTGTGTCAGGTGCTGATCACCAAGAATTCCTGCAGCAGAGAGCTCTTTGGGGATGTGAATGTCCATGCAGGCCAGCTATCTGCCTTGTACACCTGGGTGTGTGTGCAGTGGTCCTGGTTTCTTTTTTATGGTGAAAGATACCATGGTGTGAAGTTTTCACTCTGATGTTTTGAGAATTGGATCAAATAGTGCAGCTCATAAACCTCCAGCGGGTTGGGGAATCACAGGGCAAAAAGAGTTTTAAAAGCAAGGTGTCAGTGGCTTCCCTGGTGAGCTGCACACTGGACATGGGCAGGGAGAAGAGAAAGCCACGGTCATGGGTCACCTTCCTCGACTCACTGGGCTGGGCAGAGCCGGCACCATGAAGCCACCCCCGGGGCTGGGAATTGTCTGCTTTGGCTGAAAATGACTTTGTTTTTCTTTCCCTTTTTCTGACTTTAAGGATATTTAATCCCTAATAAGGTGTGGGTTAAAGTAGTCAAGAAAAGTGTATCTGTGACAACGGTTATAGGGGTTCATAATAAGACGTCTGAGACACCAACCACAGTGGCTCCTTCTCTGGTTGAATTCACCAAAGGGACTTTGATAGCCAACCTCATTTCTACTAAAGTCCCAGCAGAGACAACACACAGGACAAATGTGAGCACTTCAGCAGCTACGGAAGGTGTGACTGAGAGTGTGACTTCCGGAGCTGCCACACCACCCCTGTCACCCGTTCCCACGTCCTCCACCCGCACATCTGGGCAGCAGACCCCAACCACAACCGTCCCTGGGCTTCCATCTGTCAGCACACCTCGTGCACAAGTGCCAAGGACCAGCACACCTCCAGCAACAGCGGCAAGGGCAACAGCGCTGACCACAAGTAACCAGACTGCTGCTGCAGCCACTGCCAACACAAGCAGCTCCTCCAGCACCCTCAGCTCCTCAGAGCACACACCCACTAACTCCACAGAGAGCCCTGCACCCACTGTGGGTCCCCAAGCACAAGGTCCCACCAGCCAGATGTCACCAGCCCAGCCAGTGCTTAGCACAGCAAGTGGGTCTCCATCTTTCCCCTCTACCATCACCCCAGTGGCCACTGCCGCCCCTTCCATGACTTCTGCATCTTCCACAGCAGTGGCCACCACACAGGCTCAAGCTAAGGAGCCAACTACCAGCTCAGTGCCAACGCCTCCCACCAGTCTGACCCCTAAGGTGGAAGCCACATCACCCACAGTGCTACCAAGCTCTGTGTCATCTACCCGTGGGGCTGAAGGATCAACCTCTTCCCACACATCAGAGCAGGTGGAGACCAAAGCCACACCTGGAACTGCCTCTGCCAGGGTGACACCTGGGAGCTCAAGGGACCCCAAGATGTCAGCTACAGATTTGTGCCAGCCCAGCACTGAAGGCCAGTACCTAGTGGTCACCACTGAGCCCTTGACCCCATCCTCAGTGAACAAAACGTTCCTCCTGGCGGTGCTTATACTTGGAGTGACCCTTTTTGTCACAGTCATTGTTTTGTTTGCCCTGCAAGCCTTTGAGAGCTATAAGAAGAAGGATTACACGCAGGTGGACTATTTAATCAATGGCATGTATGCAGACTCGGAGATGTAAGCGAAGGCTGGGGTCAGCTGCGACCACCACAGCTCGGGGCCAGGTGAGCCCCTTCCTCCATCTTCCATTTTGCCTCTGAGACCAAATTAAGTGCTTCCAAATCTTTTTGGTGCAATTTTGGAGATACGCCAGATGCTTAGACACATTTAATCGCCATCAGATTAATTCCATGATCACAAAAGAGTTGCTGCTTTTTCATATTTATTTTTGTAAAGGATCATGAGCCAGGAGCAGGTGGTGACTCTGCCATGGGTTGGGCTTGGGTTGGGCAGAAGCCCTGGGCCCCTCAGCCCCCGGGTTGTCAGATCGTAACCAAAATTAAAACAGTGACTGCCCTCCACTCGGGTGCTCTCACTGGTTTTTTTTAATTAATTAATTAATTAATGTGTGTGTGTGTGTGTGTGTGTGTGTAGCCAGCTCAGCCCACCAGGGGGCGGGGCTGGCTGGCATGTGGTGCTGGGGGATTGAACTGCCGTCCCTGTGCTTTGCTAAGCTTATTCTAAGTAGGTGCTTTAGACCACTGAGCCATCTCACCAGCCCCTCTCACTGCTTTTGTGTCTGTGTGTCCTGCTCATGGTTGGTCCTGCTGGAGCCGTGTGTGTGTGTGTGTGTGTGTGTGTGTGTGTGTGTGTGTGTGTATGTGCTATGCACATGTTTCAGCGTTAGGATAGAACCCAGTACCCCATGCACTCTGGGCAAGTGCTAACCACAGAGCTATACCCGAGCCCTGGAGCTTTTTTGTGATACCTGGTGGAGTCAGTTTGCTTCTGTCTGTTTAATATAACATGAGGCCCTGGAGGTCTGTTTTGTCCAAGCAACTTGCTGGAGCTTTCTAAATGTCCAGACCTGCCTGGGAGATGGTGCAGTAGATTAAGTGCTTGCCTGTCGAGCACAAGGGCCTGAGTTCAATCCCTGGTTCCTCCAAAAAGAGAAACTGAGCATCCAGACCTGCATGGGTGCCTGGCAGAGGGCTCCCACTGACATCTTGTGGTTCTCCTTAGGTGCTCAGTCTCTTGGAATCTTGGCCAGGGAAGGGTTAAATCTGGCCCTCAGTCTGTGTGGCACAGCTGCCTCAGCCTAGACCACTTGGCCCAGAATCCAGCTAATGAAAATTACTACTAGTACCAGAGAGGCTGAAGCCTTTGTTCCAGGCCATCCTGGCCACAGAACCTAGCCCTCAGCAGACCATCCTGGAACCCAGGCCCCTGCCCCAAACACCAATCGGAGGCAATTCTTGCTATGTGCTTCTCTACAAAAAGGCCAGGCACAGTTTTCTACAAATGCAGGTGATGTGCTCCATTTTAATGTTGGAAACACTGAGGCACAAGGAGAAGTCAGTCTCATGCCAAGGGCCAGAGGCAGGACCACACCCTGGTCTAAGTCTCTGCACTTCAGTTTTCTTACCCTCTCCCAGGCTGACCTCATCCTTTGGCTTTTACCTATCCAGGGTGGCCAGAGCTAGTAGACAACATATAGGCTAAGGCATCTTACCGAAGCCGGGAATGTGGCTGCTAACTGACCTAGGACACATTATAGAATGTTCTGGAGTTCACCTGAGCATTGGAGAAAGATAATCTGGTAAGCATGGCAGCATGGTCCCTGGCCTGACTCAGGGAGAAGTTGGCTGTTGCTTCTTAGCGTCTCTGAATGCCACAGCCAAGAGTGAGACGTGCACAGGGAGGAGAAGTGATCAGGACCTTCGTGTAGCTCCTCCCTCCTGCTCCTAGCTTGCTCCACACAGGTTTGTTCCCATCCTTCTTGCCTCACTGTTCCAAGTGGCCAGCCACTGCCACCCCTTCCCCTCCACCTGAGTCCTGCTCTCTCCTTCCCTGCTCCTGGGTAGACTCATCCCACACTGAGGCCACATGTGCGTGCTCAGTCACGGCTCCCACAGCAGCTAGGAGGTGCCTGGTTCCAGCCCCTGGCTTGTCAACCTCACTGTTCTGAGCTCTGGAGCAACTCACAGCATCATGCTGGAGACGGTTCCCAGCTGTCATCCTCCAGTGGATGGCTCTGCTAAAGGGTCACAGGTGACCTAGGAATATGGCATCCAAGGCTGAGTGTTCAGCCCTAAAGGTCCTCCTGATACCCAATGACATCCCTACTTACCTGATTTAGATCACACCTGTCATTGTGGAATCTGATGCGCCATCCTAAATATCCTGTAATCTGACTGCAGGACCAACCCTGTCTGCCCATTCTGCTCCGCAGCCCACCCAGCCCCAGCACCATCCACAGCCAAGCTCAGAACAAACCTAACTGCCTGGCCCCACCCACATCTCTTCCCGGGGGAAAGGCCAGGCGCCTCTGCCCTCTGGGAGTCCTGGCCAAGCAGGGCATAAGAGGATGAGCCAGTCTCATGAAGACCTGTGTGCAGGGCAGAGGAAGACCTTTCTGTCACAGGATTGTGCAGGCTCAGGGCCATGCTGTCTGCTGCCTCTGAGGACAGTAGAGTGCAGTGAGCCAGCCAGGCTGCAGTTCATTGGGTGCAGCTGAGCAGCCAATCACGGCCAGCCAACCGGTAATTTAGGTGAGGAGCCCTCCATATGGGGAGCTCCCAGCCCATCCCACACCTCATGGGGGAAGATCAGTGGCAACAGAAGGAGACAGGTCAGCTCAGAGAAGGAACCTTCCCGCCTGGCCCCTCTTCTGGCCTTTGTTTCTGGGGCAGTGCCAGTGGCCCGTCCAGGGCACACAGGAGATGCTGTCCCTGTTTAGTGGATGAGAGTCCGCATGAAAGGTATCAGACCAAGGTGAAAGTCTGATTTGGGTTTAGTCATTAAAGAGGCTCTCTTCCTTTCACAGTGGGGAAACTGAGGCCCAGAAAAGCCACGCCCTATCAGACAAGTAGCAGAACAAGCTTCACAGCCAAGGTGTCTGCTATCACAGCTGCTGGGTGGGGCGCAGGCTCATAAGACAGCCATAGGTAGGGAGCCAAGGCTGTATCTCCGGTACTGGGTGGGACCGGAGCAGGCACAGAGCTCAGGTTTCTTGAGGAGCAGCCTGGTGTGCCCTGGCAGAAGAGATCCAAGGGGGCCCCCTGGTGGCTGAACTTTCTCTCGGCCTCTGCCTTCACTCTCCCAACCTCCCCCTGCCCAGCCCACCCTCTCCACTTGGCCTGCTCCAGCTGACGCCCCCAATTCCATACCTGAGAGCCCTCACCCTCCTCGGCACTGCAAGACCAAGGGGTCTCATCTCCTACTTGGGCAAAGCATGTTGTAGGTGGAATTGTGTCACTTGTGCCAGTGTCTGTCTCCTCATAGGTGTCCGGAGTCCACAGAGACAATAAGCTCATTCTCCTGGGCCTCTGCCTCAGAACCAGCCAGCTGGGTCATTTGGGGTAAACCATGTCTACACTTAGTCATAATTCTTTTTTTTTTTTTTCCTTTTCTTTTTCCAGTACTGGGTATTGAACCCAGGGAGCACTGGTCTACATCACTGGCCATTTTTATTTATGCTTTTAATTTGAAACAAGATTTTGATAAATTGCTCAGGCTGGCCTCAGATTTGCAATCTTTCTGCTTCAGCCTCCTGAGTAGTTGGGATGACAGGTATGTGCCATACAGCCGGCTTCAACTACAATTCTGATATCTACATTTTGCTTTAAAGTAAGAGAGGAGGCCCGGCCAAATAGCTCAGCAGATTAAAGCATCTGCTTAGGCAGACGCAGGGACCGGAGTTTGATCCCCAGCATGCCATGCCAGCCCTGCCCCTGGGGTGCATTGAGATGGCGATTGGGACTGGATGTGGTGACTTACTCCTATAATCCCAGAGCTTGGGAGAGTGAAAACAGAAGGACCACTATGAGTCCGATCTGTATAGTGAGAACCTGTAGACTCTGTACTAAATGCATTCAAAAAATAAAAATAAAACAAAACAAAATAAAATAAGAGGGGAACTTAGCTGGGCATGGCAGCCCACACCTACGATCCCAGTACTCTAGGAGGCCGAGGCAGGAAGATTACAAATTCAAGTCCACCTTGGGCAACTTAATAAGACCCTGACTTACAATAAAGTAAAAAGTAAAAAAGGGCTGGGGGTGTTTCTCAATGCAAGGGCCTGGATTTGATTGCCAGCACTACAAAAAATAAAAATAAAAAGAGGAGGGCCTACTCAGTATGGCGACTGTTAATAGCACCTATTTTGTGAGCACTTACTATGTACCAGGCTCTTCTGCTGTCATCTCCCTTAATTGCCTGAAATCATGGCTTTCCTGTTCCCACCCTCACTCCCAACTCATCCTCCACTCAGCAGCCAGGAGGATATTTTTAAAACATAACTGGGGGATTGTACCTCCTCGGCGCAGCTCCCTCTGGTGGCCTCCCACTGTGATTAGGAAAGAAATCCTAACATTGGGACTAAAAATGTAGGTGGGGTGCAGGAGGGAGGGGGGAGTGGGGAGGGGGGAGTGTCATGAAAAGCCAGAGAAATGGGGGCTTCAGGCAGAGCCCTACAGACACAGGGCTCCCAGGACGGACACAAGGTTGATGAGGGTGCTGAGTGGGAGAGACAGTCAGCCCAGGCTCGGTGACATGAGCAGAGTAAGGAGCATGTGGGAGCGTGGGAGATGTTTTTGTTTGGTACTAGGAATCGAACTCACGACCAGGCAGGCACTTACGCTGCTGAGCTATCTCCCTGGCCCCCCCAGGGAGGTTTTTAACAGAGAAATATCACTGGGTTTAGCTTTTAAGCAATTATTTTGTTGCATAGAAGTGTTTGCAGATGAAGTGACACACGGCCATTTGCTTCAAAAGTCTTCAGCATGGGAGAGAAGAGTGAGGAGAGACAGGCAGAAGCCTGGGATTGCAGCCCACCCAACAGGGGTGGGGCTCTGGGGAGGGGCCGTTTCCCATCCTCTCGATTTGCCTGTATGGAAATTTCCACGATGACCAGTTGAAAGAAAAAGGGAAAGGAAGGGCGGGCAGGGAAGGGTGGAGATGCGACTTCAACTTCTTAAGTAAATGATCACTGTGGTTGCCATGGGGAAGGTCACTGGAGGCTGCTGGGTCCTCCCAGGAGCCAGGGTGCTGGCGCAGACCAGGGAGTGTTCACACAGATGGAGGGAAGCGATGTGTTTCAGAGACTGAGTCTAGAGAGGACTTCCAGTTGTGTGTGTGTGTGTGTGTGTGTGTGTGTCCTCCCCAGATAGAACCTCAGGCCTCAAAATGTGCAGCAAGAGTACTTCTGAGCTCCCCTCCCCGTAACTTTTGCTCTTTTTCTGCACACACCTCTCATCCCTACAGTGGAGCCAGCACCACATTTGTGCTTTTGGCTTGAGGGGTTGGAATGAGGGAGGTGTTGCATGGAAGATTAGAATGACCCCTTGTTCTCAGC